GACTACCAAAGCATGACATCAGAAGCAAGATCACTAGAAGAGAAACGAGCGCACCACCACCCAAAATGGTCAACTAGTTTTGTGGTGAAGGAGGGTGCTTTTATTTCAATAGCCATCTTGCATTCCTTTCATATCAATGTAATGAAGGAACTTAAAAATTAGATGAATCTATGTTAACCTTTTTAGAATGCCAATAACTGTTTTTTTTTTTAAATTAAAAAAAAAAAAAAAAAAGAAAGAAAATGAGCACATTGTAAAAGAAAAGTTACACTTAGATTTTGCAATTAATTTGATAATAGAAAGGTGATGAGTAGAACAAATGACTAAAAAGATAGAAGAAATTTAGAAAGACGTAAAGTTAACAACAAAGTCAAAGCATTGTAGATTTAGGATTCAACGTCATATTTTAGACCCATAACTCACGGTTTTGAAATCTGAACCAAACTCGGTGGTTTGCTATGATATAGGGGCATTTTAGTCAAATTCTTTTGTTTACCCAAAACGAAATTTTAAGATTTTACCATCTTTATGGTACTTGATACTTGTTTATTTTGCTTTCTATTTATACTCGTGATTAATATAGGGTTAACCGACACTATTTAAGTAACCGCTAATTCTTAGCTTTAGAATACCTCGTTCAATTTATCTGTTCATTATATCACGCCGTGTCATATAAATTGAAGAATCAAATGTATAGGGAGGTTAAAATTTGAGAAGAATGGTTAGCCATTGCCAATTATGCAGTAGTTGGGGAAACTTTTAGTGGATATGGTGCATGTGAGAATAGAGTCCAACCCTAAAGCAAAAACACCATTTCTAGTGCGTCAAATGGTTGCCTTTTCCAAATTTGTTATGTTCTTAAAACCTAAAAAGGGCGATATAAACGAAGAAATACTTAGGATATATATGTCGGGTCAGGCCATATACACAAAGGTGATAGAGCCACTGAACCTAAAAATTGTAGCTGCCAGCTGGTAAAACTAATTAAATTATGTATTGCACTATTGTCCTATATTTCCAGTTGAACATTATCTTATTGAAGTTAATTATTATTAAAATTAACTCACGTACAAGAAACGAAAGTTTTTGTTTTAGGTAACAAGTTGCTTTGTGCCTCAGTTCTATACACATGTAAAAAAATGACTTGCATCACCAGTAGCGGATCCAAAAGAAGGTCAACGTAGTCAAGTGACCTGTGGTGAATGGAAAATTTGTTGAGGAACATTTTCTATGACCCCTTGATTGTTAGAGTAGTAATCACTTCGTGCACATAAGGTGTTCAACAAAATGCCAAGTACCACTCGTTAACACTTGACATCGTCCATGTGTGTTTTGCATGGCTCGGTAGATGACTAGCCTATTAACTGTTTGACGAAATGTCACATTGAAGTACATAATATATCTGTTTACAAAAATGAAGGGACAATGGACTTGAAAGCTCCATCATTTAAAATATAGTTAATATTTAACTAGAGGGGTTAAAAAAAATTATAAGTTAGCCTAAGAAATTGCAAACAAATTAAGACATCCTTGGGGTTTTTTTTTTTTTTTTTTTTTTTTAAAGTGCTAATACAAGGTCATGCGTACGAAGCAATGATTGCGTGGTTATACTTCTTCAAATGATTATGGCTAGGGATGGATTTTTTTGCCAAATTGCCATACCAACCGAATTGCCAACCGTGCCATACCGATTTTGTGCCAAATTTTTTGTACCAATCGGTAATTGTACGGTATTGTACCGTACCGAAATTTCATGGTACGGTATTGGTAATGGATACCATTGCCACGGTATTACCGTACCATACCGAAAATATAATATAATATATCATTTATAAATTATATAATAGATAGTTATATAACACATATTTATAATATTCCAATAATTTGAAAATAAAACCCTACTTATATTAGCATTGTTGTTGGTGACTTTGATATCTTGAAATTGTAGAAATCAAACACAAAAGGGTTCCTAATTCTTTCACAAATAGCCAAAATATCTTTGTAACCCCCATTTCTATTGTTGCTATTGAAAATGCATTTAGCCTAGGGAGGAGGGTTGTGGACCCTTTAAGGTATCTTTGACTCCTAAAATAATGGAGGTACTAGTGTGTACTAGTGGTTGACTTAGGGCAGATGAAGTAAACTTCTACAAGGAACCAACGGAAGATATGCTTCAATTTTACAAGGAAATGGAAGAAGAGAAAACAAGAAAGATATGCTTTAATTTTTTCAGTAAATTTGTTATTAAATGGTTTTCAACTTTAATTCTTCTTGCTACTAATTAATATGTTTTCTTTGTTTGTAATGTAGGCTTGACACAAACTCAATCTTCTATAAGTTCAATGTCTCCTCCAAAAGCTTCGACATCTCAAGTTTGAATAACTGATCAATGAATTCTCCTTTTTGAAGTTTACTTCCAATTTTCATTTGGTTTAAAACTTTAATTTCTATTTGAATGGTTAACTTCTATTTGTTTTGGTTCGTAACTTCTATTTGGATTGTAAGCTTAATTTTCATGATGAATCTTGATGCATCATTTGAATTATTATGTGTGTGAATTGTGAATGATGAATTTAATCTATAATGTATGAGATAAAGGTACAAAAAAAAAAGTTTTGTCCTTGAATTGGGTTAAAAAAACAAAAACAGATTTTGTCCCAAAACAAAATGGCAATTACCATTGCCATACCATGCCAACCGAACTTTTGGCAATACCGAACTTCGGTATACCGAAAGTTTGGTATGGTAATGGTAATAGATTTTACCAAACCGAAAGTTTGATACGGTAATTGGTACAAGGGTTTTGGTACGGTAACCGTACCGAACCCACCCCTAATTATGGCCGAAAAGGAATCTCCTCACGATTGTTAGCTCTTTTGTCTTGAAAATAAGAGTTTGAATATGTCAATTACCAATATGGCATGTTCGATTAGGTCACGTGATTGATAAATTAGTACACGCAAGCAACTAAAATCAGACAATGGGACAAAGATACTCACAAATTCATTGGTAAGTTAATTGTTCACTTGCAACATACATTTAACATTTTAACACTTTTTGACAAAAAAAATTAACGCATTTACGAAAGAATAGTTTAATAATTAAACATAAAACATAAAAACCCTAATTTTTTTTTCTACACTTCTATCTCATGATGTGACGATTAATCCAAGTCATACTTCCAAATTCATTTTACTTTGAAGATTTATACACAAAGGAGGGATGTTTTATGAATAAAGCTACTCCGTTTGTTTTCTTAAACGTTTTTAGTTCATGTTTTTACGTTTGCTTAGTTACTTTTTTTCAAGACTTGATAATATGTGGAGGAATCTAAAGTTCATAGAGTATGTTTTGTTTTTTGTTTACTTAGAAGGAAAATGCTTAAGAGCTTGAATTTTTGTTCACAAATTACTTTCCCCCCCAACTTATGTGACACTTAGATGTATTGAATACACAATTATCTTGTAGACCCAAAGGTGATAATTCTGTTGTTGATACTTGATGGAGAAAAGTTGAGGGTTGCATACTGCTCTTTGTTATCCAATATGATTAATGAATTTATCATCCAGACATCATAATCGAGATCGTTTATTAATCTTTTTATTATTATTTAAAGATTATGTATACAAATAATTATTTAATTTGGAGATTTGTTAGCCATTCATATGCGTAAAACAAATGGACAGTTCATCTTAGAATGCTACTTGTTATTAGAATCGTTAATTGGTTTAACATGTACAGTGACTAAATGATCTCCAAATTAAACGATTTTTGCAGATATGATATTTAGATGATGATAAAGAGAATGGACGATTCTAATTCAATAAGGGCGCTACGGAGACACTACAAGAGCACTACAACAGTCGACTACCACAATTTGAATTACAAAGTCGACTACAACAATAATTTCATGCAACACTCCGAATGAACTTGGTTCGCTCGTGAAGCGAACTATGCGGCTAATTTAGTCACCTTGCTGGTTGTGAAGAAGACATGCCTAGAAAACCAGGTCAATCAACCTCTGTCTTCTCCGATCTTCATGTTGGCTCGTGATGGGCTGCCATGTCCTCCGCCAGCTTCATAGACTCTAGAATTACTCATAGTTTGTATTTATGGGAGTTTCCTTCTTTTATCTCTGTACGTTTGTTTTGGGGTCTTGGCTTTGTTTTTGCTGTGAACGCCTGCCCTTTCTTTGTCTTTGCTTCTCTTAAGCAATTAATAATTTCACACTCGTATTTTAATTAATAGATAGAACTTACACGTATCAAGTTCAAGCTCACGCCACTATTAATAGTTTTATAAGAATCGAACTTAAAATGTATAATTTGTATAAGCAAAAATCAAACTTATCTGAACCACTGTAAACGTGTTTGATTTATATATTTGAAGGCAATAAGTTAACGTATTGCGTTATGTTGAACTGAAAACAAAATTTTAATTTTTCAGCATAGAAAACATCTTTAAAAAAAATACGAAAAACACAGATGTATTGCCAAGTCAACATAAGACGGAGCATGCCGCACAACATTTTACAGCACCATGACAACCCCCAGATGACTTAACAACCACAAAGAGACAGTAGACTTTGAGGAAATTATAGTGTGCGTTACAGACTAGGTCAACACACCGTGTCTTTAATACGACTTTAGATTGTATACGTGAATTTAATCAGTTGATAAGGATATGTACTCATATCTTGATTTTAATTTAACGCATTTTTTCATAATAGTTATTTATTTATATTTTTTTATACAAATAATAGTGAGAAAGAGGATAATCGAACTTTGAACCTTAGGTGATGCAAGGGCATCGTAGAAAAAAAAATGCAGTATTAGGTTTTGTTATACGGTATAGAGAATACCGGTATGGGTAGAGACTACAGAGTAGAGAGTATAAACTTAACCGTAGGTGGAAAATTTAACCCAAGTAAACAAAAATGGACCCGACCCGACCCAACTCAACCTTTTCTCTTACACTAGTAATACAAACTACGGACACAAAATTTCCTCATTCCAACCCCCTCCCATATACTTTCTCTCTCTAAAATCCACTCTCTTTCTCTCTCTACAAAATTTTCATACCCAACTTAACGGCATATTCTCTCTCTCTCTCTCTCTCTGTTCTTCCTCCCACTTTTCTCGGAAAATCCGTCACTGCAAACCCAAAAGCTCCATCGGAATTATTTATTTTCCCGGGAACCAAACAGCCCCCAGAGAAAAATTTCAATTCGGATTAAGGGTTGCTTTTCTCAAATTTTCTTTTCTGGGTTGGTGGGTCGGTGGGTAGGAACTGATTCAGAGGAATGGTGGTGAAGATGATGAGGTGGCGGCCGTGGCCGCCTCTGACGACGAAGAAGTACGAGGTGAGGCTGGTGGTACGGCGGTTGGAGGGCTGGGATCTAGTGCGGGAGGGTGCAGGCGGGGCCGGTCCACAGGACCATGAGAAAGAGGACAAGTGGACGGCGGAGATTAGGTGGAAGGGATCCAAGGTCAAGGTTGGGGCTTTGAGCTCTCTCCGGCGCGCCGTCGTCAAGAGGAACTTTACCAGAGAGGTCGAGGCTTCGTCCCAGGACGGCGTCGTTTCCTGGGACGAGGAGTTTCACAGCGTTTGCTCTCTCTCGGCTTACAAGGACAATGTATTTCACCCTTGGGAGATCGTATTTACCGTCTTCAACGTAAGTTTCGATTTTTCTTCTTCGAAATTTCGCTTCGATCTTTCTAAATTTTTTTGTAATTTGAAATTTAATAATTAAATTTGTGATTTTAGAGAAATTATTGTGAAATTAGCTGGAAATTAGAGACATGGTTTGTGAATTTAAGCTGAGATAGTTAATTTTTCTTGTAATTGCTGTTGCTGTCATTTGATTTGGACGGATGATTTGTTTTGATTTTTGTTCTTGGTTGAAAAAAATAGTCTCTTTGAATAATCAAGGGGTTTGTATTGATGGAGTATTTAATTATGAATTTAATTGTGGCAATTTTCGGCTATGGGACTTTTTGGAGGGTCCTTCACACGACCGATAGTTTACTGATTGAGTTGTGGAAGGGTTATTGGAAATGATATCCTGATCCCTCAAGGGGTTTTTTATCCCCTAAGTTTTACAAGTGTATGAATAGTTGCTTCAATTGCGCATTTGTTGGTTCAAATCGCTGCAAATTTTCATCTGTTTTTCACGTAGGTTGCATGATTTCTGTAATCAGAATTGGTTGTTTTGTTATGGGTTTTCCGCAATTTGGTGCCTAAAAGCATATGTATTTTGCGGAACACCATTTTTTTTAATATCGTTTTGATATTTTCTTTTTCGATCATTTGATTTTTGTGGAATTGGTTATTTTGTTATGGGTTTTCCGCGATTTGGTGCCTAAAAGAAGATGTATTTTGTGGAATACCACTTTTCGTTAATATTGTTTTGATATTTCTTTTTTGTTCTTTTGATTTTTGGTAAACTTTGATTACCCTTTTCTAGAGAACTAACTTGTAAGTTGCAATTATAATACAGGGTTTGAATCAAGGTGCCAAAAGTAAGGCTCCTGCTGTTGGAATGGCATCAGTGAACCTTGCTGATTTTGTTTCGGAAGCTGAACAGAAGGAGCTTGAGTTACACATCCCCTTCACCTCATCTGGTCCTGCTGCTGAACTTTGTGTATGTTCCTCTCAACTAGTTTCCAGTTCTTTCTTCTTCCACATGTGCTATCCTTTCTCGGTAGAAATTAGTTTGGTCCCGCTGCTGCTTAACTTTCTGAAGTTCTAGAATTTCTGACCTCAAGTTCTGCTAAATTTTCAGATATCACTCAGCTTATTGGATCTGGGAACTACTCAGGAAATTACAGAGCCAGTGGAGAGATCAATTGTGCCTGTTCAATCACCTCCCCATTCAGCGGAAACTGTATCGCCAGAAAAAGACGAGCTTTCTGCTCTGAAAGCTGGACTTAGAAAAGTAAAAATTTTCACAGAATATGTGTCTGCCAGAAAAGCAAAAAAGCCCTGCCGTGAGGAGGATGGCAGTGAGGGCAGGTGTTCTGCTAGGAGTGAGGATGGTGATTATAATTATCCTTTTGACTCTGAGTCACTTGATGAGTTTGAGGAAGGTGAATCAGAAGAGGTCAAAGAGGATTCCAGTGTTAGGAAGTCATTCAGTTATGGCACGCTGGCTCATGCAAATTATGCTGGAGGATCAATTTACTCCAATATGAGAATCAACGATGAAGGTGAGGACTGGGTTTACTACAGCAATCGCAAATCAGATGTGGGATGCTCACATACTGAGGAGTCCACTGCACCAGTCTCTGACCCGCCTGCAAGTTCAAAACGAGGCTTACTATCTTGGAGGAAGAGAAAGCTGAGCTTCATCCGGTCTCCTAAAGCCAAAGGAGAACCTTTGTTAAAGAAGGCCTATGGTGAAGAAGGTGGTGATGACATTGATTTTGATCGTCGGCAGCTTAGCTCTGATGAAATTCTATCTCTCGGGGTAAGTATCTACTTCTAATTCTTCTTGTGATTATGGTTTAATGAGATCTTGGTGTTGTCATGATCGTTTTCAGCATCTTGTAGTTAATTTTCTGTCAGAGTTCTTAAAAATAAAAGTTAGTTGCTTAAGTTCTGATTATAATTAATATAATTTGGCAGTGGAATAAGACAGAGGAGGATTCATCTGCTAATCGGTCGTCAGTGTCTGAATTTGGGGATGATAATTTTGCCATCGGCAGTTGGGAGCACAAGGAAGTGACAAACCGCGATGGACACATGAAGCTTCACACCCAGATCTTTTCTGCTTCTATTGATCAACGGAGTGAGCGAGCAGCGGGCGAGGGTGCTTGTACAGCTCTGGTTGCAGTGATTGCTGATTGGTTTCAGAATAACCAAGAGCTCATGCCCATAAAATCCCAGTTTGACAGTTTGATTCGAGAAGGCTCATTAGAGTGGAGGAATCTCTGCGAAAATGAGACCTACAGGGAGCGATTCCCTGACAAGCACTTTGATCTTGAAACAGTCCTTCAAGCCAAAATACGTCCTCTTTCTGTAGTTCCTGGGAAATCTTTCATTGGGTTTTTCCATCCTGAGGTTGTGGACGAGGGACGATTTGACTTTTTACATGGTGCAATGTCCTTTGATAACATTTGGGATGAGATTAGCCGTGCTGGATCAGAATGTGTTAGCAATGGCGAACCTCAAATTTACATCGTCAGCTGGAATGACCATTTCTTCATTCTCAAGGTTGAAGCTGAAGCTTGCTACATCATCGACACATTAGGGGAGAGGCTCTATGAAGGGTGCAACCAGGCCTATATCTTAAAATTCGACAGCAACACGATAATTTACAAAATGAAAAATGTTGAACAATCATCTGATGATAAACCGACAACCAGTGATCAACCAATTGTGGCGGCAGAAGCAGGCGAATCTAGAAACCAGCGGGTCAATGCAAAGGAAGAAGAATCTACAGTAGAAGCAGGAATAACCAAGTCAGAGGAGCCGAAGGAGGAAGTGGAGGTGGTCTGTCAAGGGAAGGAGTCCTGCAAAGAGTACATAAAGAGCTTCTTGGCTGCAATTCCAATAAGGGAGTTGCAGGCGGATCTCAAGAAAGGACTAATGTCGTCCACGCCTCTTCATCAACGGTTACAGATTGAGTTCCACTACACCCAGTTACTAAAACTGCCTCCGGCTGCTCCAGCAGTAGAAATGACCGCAGATGCTTCACAAAGTCCCGAACTTTCAACAACAGAGGTTGCGGCATAGGAGAAACGTAAATTGTAGGAAGTGTGATTACTAACTGTATTTTCGCTTATTTTAATCGTTTTTCTTTCAACTGAGTGTGCTTAATTGGAAGTGGATTAACCGATAGGAGACCGCTTAAGCGTTTTGAGGATCATGGGAGAGGTAACTGCTGTGTGTTTCTAAGTTAGGCTGGAAAATGAAAGCGTAAGTTTCTTCTGTTTGAGGTTATGTTTGTTATGTTATGTTATCTTAATTGCCTAATCTCACTGGGAAATGAGTAATTCTGTAACATGACCCTGTAATTTCCCTTTCAGTTGACGGAGCTCTGACTTTTTTTTACTGATGTTATCCAAATTTTACTTTTTATGGCTTTTAACTTTGGCAGTTTGATGTAGTGAAAATCCAACCATTCTGTTCTGCTGGAACTTTGTGATTCCAATTTCCCCTAAGATTTCTGATAGCTTTTTATAACAGTTGAATTGCAGTTTGAGTCCCTATAGTTTACTTGGATTTTCATTTTTATCCTTTTATAGTTTCATTCGGTTAGCTTAGTCCGTTAAATGAGGTAAAACTTCTTCAACTTTGAGTTTTTGGACTGAGAAGATGTGCACAAAAATGATGGAATAATAAACTTGGCTTGTTTGGACTGCTAATGTAGAAAACATTTGACTGCTGGAAATGCTTTCAGTATACACATTCTAAAAATGCTTTTTGCAAAAAACACTTAAAAAAGTGCTTCCTAAAAAAAACATTTAGTTAGGAGTTTCACCAAAAAAAACCTTTCTACAAGGCACAAGCGGATTAATTGTATTGCCAAACATAGTTGGAAACAATTTTGGTTGCTAAACAATTTTAGTCATTTCACAAGCAATCTCAAACATGACCTTAGTTGATAGATTGATCTAAAGGGAAAGAAAACACGACGAATATGCATGGCAAAAATGTAATAACAAAAAAAAAAAGGATGGAAGTGAAAATCTGAATAAACTACAGGGACTATCAGTGCAATTTATCCCTTGGTCAACAATGCATATTTGATTGATGCCTAGATATTCCATTCTCTATGTTTGTGGAAAAAATCAGATAATCCAATCCCAAATGCGGTGCATCTCATTAGCTGTAAAGATGCAAAGGGAAAAGTTTTCCGTGACGAAAAAGATAATATTAGAGAGACTAAATTTGCAAATCAAATTATGTGTCATTAATAAGAAACAAACACGTTAATCGATACTCAATTAATCATCCAATCATCTGCAATCATATCATTTGGTTTACAAATTTAGTTTAAAAAATTTGATCTCCTATCCTGAGAAAATAAATAAAAAATAAAAAGAAAGAAACAAAAAGATGGATGATGAGGCTTTCAAGTTTTGGTGTTGGAAGCACGCAGGCTGTGTTGGAGGAAAAGTTGAGGTCTGGAATTGGTTCCACCACTAGGGCACTACTACTACTACTACCACCTAAAATAAATAACATGACATATTTTATTAGGGTTAGCTATTTGCATATGGCATCATTCAGTTGAAGGCATATGTTAGGGTTTCGGGAACTTTAACGAAAAACTTCCGGTACTGTTTACTTTAACGAAAAACCATATTTTTACACTAAAAAGTCAATCTTGGTACTATTCACTTTACCTTTTATTTTGTCTTTATCGTTAAAACTCAAAGTTTTCAAGCCATTTTCATTAGTTTTCCTTAGGGTTTTTTTTTGGAATTTTGGCCCCCCTGTAGTGCACGTTGAGAATCTATGGATTGTTGGTACAAGTTTCTGTCATTGTTCCATGTTGTTTGGTTCAACTTGCCCCACGTACATGTCACTCATAGTTTGGTTGAATATGTCATCTAATGAGAGGGGAATTCGAACTTATGAGTTTGTTTATGACATTATCAGATGGAGAGCTCGTTGGTGGGTGAATTAAATGAAAAAAATGTCGTTTCATTTTTAATAAAAATATGACCTGTAGAGATTTCAAGTATGAATGCGTGGTTCAAATTGACAGTTTGATAACATTGCATAACATAAACAAAATGTTCAAGATTTTCTAACCATTATTTTTCACATTTATAATCCTTATTTGGCCTAATCCATAAAACTGATTACCACAAACTACTTTATTATTTTACTTCAATATCTTTTTTTATATAAAAAAATAGACGATATTCTTTAGTAAATTTGTTTAAATTACGGTGGAGAGGGATTCTGATTTAGGTGTAAAAAGACAGAGTACACTGCTCTAACTATTTAGATAAGTCAAAATCTGCTTGTTTCTAATTTCTTTTAGGCAATATATGTAGGTGTAACATAATATGAGTAGATGTCTATTGATACTATATTAGAAAGTGCAAATACTTTGTCGTTCATATCACAACACGTAACTGTTTATATTAATCGATTCAGATGCTACATGACACAATAATATTTTCTTGATCCAACACGTTTTCAAAGTTAGTGTATTTATTGTGATAATTGCCATGTAATGATTAATTACCGGCTATAACCGACTTTTGAGACACTCAACAAAACAAACGAAAAGGCCAAGACATGCCTTGCCAAAGTAATTGTATTTACGACAAAAATTCACAGCTTGAATGAAACAGTTGACAAAAAGTTAAAAGCGCCATCAACATAATGAATAGAACTGAATTATTTTTAAGGGTGGGCGCAAGTCGAGTCAGGTTCATTTTTGGTTTGTTTTTCTGTAAATGAGTCTGAATTGGTATAGGTTTACATATTTTTATTAGTGGAACTAGCTCATTTGGATCGGTTTGGTATGGTTTGGTTCTTATGAGTTGAACATATTCATTTTCAATCATATATGCCGTATAACAAAACAACAATATAAAACAATCTCTATGTATTTTTGTTACGAAAGAATTGCGTCTAACAAAACCAATACCAACAAATGTTCTTAAGACTCTTTGTTTAAAGAAGTTTGATTGTTGTTTTACTTCTTAGGGTTAGATTGACATGAAAATATGGATCATGGGCTTCATTGTGGACTACTAATAAAATAACAAATGCTATGACAACCTTAACCGGTCTGTGCCGAGTTATTCACACATAAGAAATATTGGTTCAGTTTTGAACTTGTTTTTACACAAGCTGGGTCCAACTCAGAGCATTTTAAAAATAAAAAGTAAGAACCGGACGATTTTACATCCAACCGTGTAATATGGTCCGACTCCACAAGGGCAAAGACCTGCATGTCCAACCCTAAGTTTTATATTTCTCAATGAAATGAGAGGATTTTGTACTTTAGTTAAAAATACAAAGCTTTTAATATTTTCTCACTTTAGAATGCTTCATGGGCTTGGAAGTAGTTGGTGTTAGAGGATTGGGCTCGGCCTGATATACATTTTTTTTCAATCTTGTATTGGGTAGCTTTCAAGTTTAATACACCTTATTTAGACACAATTTTTTTTTATAATGCACATAAAATTCACGTATTTTATAACATTTTCAACACATAAATATCAAATAAAAAATGGCAGAATTTTTCAAAGTATCATTTTAGCAAAGTTGCCAAATAGTACATTTAAATTTTTCAGTACTATACCCGTTCCGTATTTTACTAACTATAATTTAAAGATAGCATGTTTATCAAATCATCCATATGCTATGCACTAAGGATAGAAAAAAAGAGACAATGACATAAAATTATTGTAACAAAAAGATATTATTTATTAGAGAGGACCAACGGATACACGGATCAAACATGATGTGAAAAAAAAAAATGGAAAAACAAAAAAAAAATCAGAGTCAAGAAGTACATTGCCACTTTTATGTATTCTTTAGGTTTTTAGTAATCTTCATGATAGTAAATTGCAATTCTAGGAGTGGATGAGTTTTCCCAAGTTTGTCAACGTCGCAAGGAACCACAACATCACTTCCATTGTTGCTACCTCGAAATTTCCCACCTGCATCACTTCCACCACCGCTGCTATGTCCAAACAGTCCATAACAGTGGTGGAGCTAAGATATTAGTCTAGAAGGGGTCCAAAAGTCTCAATATGAAACGCTCTCTTCATCTTTTCATGTGGTGAGTGATCGATCACCGTCATTTGGGTCTGCCATGGTGCCGTCCTTATCATTCTCTTCCTTAAACTTAAACCCCAAGCCATTCTGACTTTCTTCCTCTCTCCTTCCTCTTCAAAGCTCACAAGTAACAGATTGCTTGAACTCCACATGAGCCACCAATTTCAAATCAAACTAAACTAAAAACCTTAAAAATTATAAGCATAGCAAGAAACATTTATGCTGAGAAAAAAAATGTCAAGATGGACCTGGGATCATTGTATTCCCTTCATAGCTCTGCCTATGGTCCACAAGGCAGTCCTATATCTGTTTCAGGACCTCCTGTGCTGCCATCGTAAGGCAGATTCCCCAATACATTATTGCTACTTCCATTAGCATTCAAATATTGCAGCATCCAGTGAATGATAAGAGATAGAAGAGCTACATTCCAAAAGAGAAAGGCAAGCTTGTTCAAGAAAACGCGTGACTCGCCATCTTGTATGTTGTTAATGGCTTTACCATTGGATATGGCGCAGACGACAATGAGTTGACAAGATTGTGAGCTCACTCATTTTCTTAAACAAGGTTGCCTTTTTGGAATGTAGCCTTTCTATCTCTATCGTTCAGTATCCAGGCGAGTTTTACCTTCGTCCTAGTCATGGTTGATATGCTATTTTCTTACTAAGATCTCTCTGTTTCTATACCAACTCTATTGCTCTGGATGACACTCACAAGAGGGAATATATAGGCAAGGATATGACTTGACGACCTTATTCTAAAGAAAAAATTGGAAGATGAAACAAATCAGCGACGAAAGTCGTTTTGGTATTATTAAATGTCGTATTAAAAAAAATCTATACATGTAGATTTTGTGAATATGTATTTTCTAATTAGCAAAATAATTTAACTTCGCATCTTGCTAATTTGCGCAATTTGTTATTATTAAAATATCTATGACATCCGGAAGCCAATTTGTATTTTAAGAGATTTAGGGTTGGTTTGGTATTGCTGTGCTTTAAAAAAAAGCTGCTTATGCTGTGCTGTGAGAATAAGTGACTGTGAAATAAAGTTGTAGAGTGTTTGGTAAACTTTTATCTAAAACAAATGTGAAAAAGCCAATTTTTCAAAGCTGGGTTTGTAGCTTCTTGTTTTTGGCTTTTTTTACCCAAAACTGTGAAAAAGCTGAAGCTGAATGTTTACCAAACACAAAAAAGCTCTCAGCTTTTTTTGATACCAGCTTTTTTCAGAATTACCTCAGTACCAAACCAGATCTTAGTTGTATGTATTAAGCCACAGGTTAACATTAGTCGTAAGGAGAGAGAATTACAATTAGAGATAACACTAGGGGTGAGAAAAGGC